CTGCTTATTATCCAATATATTAGAATCTCAAGAGATACTGTTGCTTAATAGTGATTAGTCTAGATATTTATATAGAAATCATTGTGATGGGTTCATTGTTGTACACTGAATTGTTTCTTAGCATCTTCATTCCTCTCTTCTGCCTTGGCTACCATCCTCTGATAAACATGATCAACTTTTCATGTGCCGTGATTCTTTTGTAAATTGTATAAAATAAAATTTCTTATATGTGAATGCCCAGGGGCAGACGTTTTCCAGTGGAGAATGGGTTCTAAATTGGATAGTTATGAACTGGGTATTGATGACATTTGTTGTTGTGGTATATTTTATCTCTTTTTTTACGTTGAATGTGGTAATTGATTGCGATGTTATTGTGTTCAAAATAACGACTTTCTGTAAATTTGGTAGTCCATATCAATTGTAATTTCCTTTTCCATTCCTTTCTTGAGAGATACAGGTGGCGAAGAAGACTGCCGAAAAAAGCAAGGTTCTCCTTACTGACATTGAGCGATGGCAGAAGGTGCTTGAGCTTGGCGAAATTTCCTTTTTTACTCATATAATGCAAGTGAAGTTTTCTAAATTATTTGCCTTTGTCAATCTCTGCAGGGAGTTGCAAGTACAGATGGTATGCCTTTCATTCTTTTGGTTGTCAGATTAACTGAATTGTGTCCAACAGATCAATTGGATAGTTTCTGAGATGGTTGTCAATATGTAACATCAGTGGGTCAATCATGAGTATTCAAATTAAAAGTTGCTTCATATGTTTTGCTTGTCTAAATGCTTTTTTTGTTTTCATTTTGTGAGATTTTCAGCTGATTACATTTTCTTATGACAAATCTCAAATTATACAAAAAGAACATGTTCATGCATATGAATTAAAGTATTAAACTATGTAAATGAGTACATGGTCTTATGCAATTGTCTTGTTTAATTACACGCCATATCCTTTTCTTTCTTCCATGTAGTGTTTGGTACACCAATTGAGCTTGCTGTCCAGCGCCAACAGTCCAGTACGCCTATTCCAAATGTACTGATGAAATGTGCAGATTTCCTAATACTATCAGGTGACTTTTACGTCTGAAACTTGCGAATTACTTACACATGTGTGTGTGTGTCTGTGTCATTGAGTATCCTTGCTGACAGAGCAACTGTTTCCTCCATGACTAGGACTAAACACCCCGGAGCTGTTCAAAGCCCATGGCAACAAAAAAGTTATTCAGCATTTAGTATCCTTGTATAACCAGGGTAATTGAATATTTGTTTATTTACTTGGGGATACTTACAATTTTCTGTCAGCTTGTTTGTTTATTTCATACTATTTTCTTCTTATTCAGACCCAAACGCATTACTACCGGAGGGTGTAAGCCCAGTTGATGTTGCCGCTCTTATAAAGTGTTATATTGCAAGCCTCCCGGAGCCATTGACCACCTTTCAGCTGCACAATGATATCAGATGTGCTCGTTCAAGCATACATTTAATGAGAAACATTCTCAAAAAGATGCCAACTGTGAACTATATGACTCTGGAATTAGTCACTGCATTACTCCTTCGTGTTAGCCAGAAATCTTCTGTTAACAAGGTTGGTTGAATCTATTTTTTGTTACAATTACGATTTAGGCATTTCTTTGTTCTGTAACTTTGTGTATCACTGTTGTCCAGTACAGGGGGAAAAATTAGTGATCAACGCCCATCATTTTTTTATGTTATCAAGTCCATAGGTTAAAACTGTCTTAAGTTGTGCTACAAAGATGAATTTACTTTAGCTGTTTCATGAAGTGTCATACAAATTAGTTGAATTTAGAATGCATCATTTGGTATCTGGTTAGATAAGAATGCCTCCGATGTTGCAAACATTTACAGATGGATGCTCGGAGCCTGGCAATGGAAATGGCCCCTTTGATAATGTGGCTGGAAGGTCAGAGGCCAGAGCACTATATACAGTATTGGGCTCAATCATCAAAACTCGATTCCAAGAGAAAGGCAGATTCTGTCTCCAGCCAAAGCGAATGGGATTTGCTTTCAGGTATATTTACAATCCAATCTCTATGCTTCTTTCTTGTTTTTGTTCTGAATTGCTATGTATTCAAAGGCAGCAGATTGTTTTCTATCCAGTCTAGCGGATATTGGTTCTTCTGCCATTCTTGAACCAATAAATTCTTAAATAGACTTCAACTATTTGTATTGTAGTATAGATGGTTTTCATCGAGTGAATGGTTTGCAAAAAATTTTGAATTTTTGCTTCAAAAGGAAGGTGATTAATTGTAGCATAAAAGAGAAGAAATTGAAAACCTGAAGTTGTCGGCATTTTAAAGCAGTAGCTACGATCTACTGTATCTTCGCTTTTTGCATTTCTTTATCCTTTTATGGTACCATCTATGTTAATAGGATTATCACATATGTATGAACGCTATTCATATATTGCATAATTTATGGTCTAATTTTCTGCGTTTGTGTAGATGGTGAAGCTCAAGACGCATCATCATCTATCCCCCTCGACGATGGTGTGCCAGTCGATTTTCGTGCTATTGAAGTTATTCAGTGTTTGATTGAGCATCACAATGCGGTTTTCACGGACGCAAATGAAACTGTGTGGAGGTAGTTCCATCACTGTAATATCTGCTTGGTTAACCGTGATAAATGATAAGCATCATGTCAAGAAAGTTTGTTCTGATTTTGTGTAGATAATTCAATAGCTGATTTTGGTCATTGGTGTGGAAAATTGTAAAATCGTTATGTTGTCTTGTTAGTAGTAGTAACAAGTTACAGGTTTCGTCATCTTTCAGAAGACGGTTTTGATGCTTTTCCATGTTTTGGCATATTCGATTGTTAGCTCAACTGTTGAGTAATTTTGCTCTACATTATTGGGAAATTTAGAGGGGTACTAATTGGTTAGAGCTCCCACTTTATATAGAATGAGTAACATTTGTCGATCACTTTGTTTATTGGAAAACAAGACCAGAAAAAACATCTTATTGATAACAACTATGAAATCAGTGACAGGTATTTGATATGTGAAGTAATTGCAACTCAGTGACTTAAGGAGATATGGAGTGTTCATTTTTTTTTTTATTTTTTTTTTTCAAACGGATAAATTCATTAAAGCTCCAAAATGTAAAAAGGTAAAACAGACCAACCACCTCAAAGAGCTTCAAATGAAGCATACAAGAGAAAAGGAGGTTGTAAAGACAACATTTCCATCCCCTAACTTAAACAGCACAAAACCAGAAAAACACTAGCAACTAAGTAAAAAAGCACAATACAACCAACCTATACAGTCCGGCCAAACGAAACAACCCAAGAATACAAGAGCACCAACAAAAGCAGTAAGAAAGAGGAAACAGACTAACTGCAAAAACACAACTGAATCAAAACCAAACAGAACCACCCGAGCCTTGCCAAGAGTTAATCTTATATTGAAAACTTCTGAGTACAGCTTTAGTTTTTCAAGTTTTATTGTATACAATTTTTCAGTGTTCTTACATCACTGAATAACTGTGTTTTGATTTTCATTTTCACAAATACTTGTCGTACTCATGGATTAAGTATTAAGATAGTTGGGAGGAATTCTCAGCTAGTTTGAAGTCCACAAGATTGTGGCCCGAGGAGTAATTAATAGGTTGGGGTATAGTGTTGGCTAAACTAAAAGGGAATTCGAGTCGTGTAAGTCCAAATTGTATTTTGTGCGTGCAAATCGAGCTGTTAATGAAAGAGATATAAGAAATAGTAAGATGCTCCCGAGCTATTTTTTTTAAGTTAATTATTTCTGCTTTTACTTTTGGCATTCGAACATTATTGCTTAATTTAGTTTGAGAAATGCTATAAGTACATAATACTCTACATAGAGGTGTACATAACACTCACATTAAGTGGGTTCTACAAAAAATAAAAAATCAAGTGAACCCCACTTCATGTGAGTGTTATATACACCTCTATGTACATTTATTATGTACTTGTAGCATTTTTCATTTAGTTTATACCCATTGTCCAAGACATGGTTTATACCCTTTGTCCAAAACATGTTTTATTCTCTAAATTCTCGGCACATGTTCCATTTGTCTCGAGTATTTAGTGGATATTCCAATTTCACCTTCCAAGCAAACTGCAAACAAGAAAAATAAATAAATAAAATAAATTAGTTGCAATTTGACAAGTAAAAAAATCCCAAAGAATCAACATTCAATAGGTTTGAGCTTGACAAAGTATTTTCCTATTTCAATCGCCATGACCTGTTATCTTAACATGGACCCTGGCTCAATCTGATTGGTTCTCAAGAAAATTGGGTGAAATTCGCATCGGAAAATTCAGATTTTTCAGCTCAAACGTTCGCATGGAGAGGAAAGAAAATGGGCTGATCGGAGATGATTCTCACCCAGACCTACCTTTCTCCGACGGCGGCGAGGTCTCTGTCTTGAGCTCTAATTTTGTCCTGGATCATGTTGGGGAGGTCGTTCTTACACACACTGCTGATACGTTGTCTTGGAAATTAATTGATTCGTTGCGTAATGTAAGCTCCCTGTTCTATCTTACAATCATCGTCTTAATCTTTCATAAAAATGGCTTCTTCTTGTGGTTGATTGGTGAAGTGACTTTTTTTTCATTGCATGGGCATTTGGTATTGCTCACTTTTAGGCGGAAGTTCATCTTTTTAGTTTCATCGTCTGTGCATATTTTGTTGGGATGTTGGTGGCATTGAATTAAATTAACCATTCAGCTGTTTCAATTTGTGTTGTGCGACGAAGGACCAAGTTATTTACCTTAATGAAGTGAAAATTAGCTGGTAAAGAGTGATTTTTCTTTCTTTCTTCTTATCCTGTTGGAGAAGTGATCTTCTGTGTAAAAATTTCTATTTGTAATGAAAATTAGCTGGTAAAGAGTGATTTTTCTTTCTTTCTTCTTCTTTCCTGTTGGCGAAGTGATGTTCTGTGTAAAAATTTCAATTTATGTTTTTCACAGTCCATTCAATGAATCTTTCTTGTGCATCTACATTGCATGGAGATTAATTCAGAGATTTTTTTTCTGTCTTCATTGTATCAGGAAGACGATAAAGTTTCGTGCTTCGGATTGAAAATGGCTTCTGATGCTAAAATGGAGGTTAATTTTTCTGATATTTATGCTGTTGACTTCATTGACTGGGGTATGGTACATGGTTCGGTTGTTTCCAATGGCGAAGGTTCTCTTTTGGATCAATCTTCCGAGGTGATACATTCTGACTAATTTCACCCTCAGACTTGTTCTGTTCATTTCTTAATTCAAATGTTTCTTTGATGTTAGTACTGTACACTATTTGATCCCACAGATGTACCGATTTACTTTGCATTTTGTCCACGGAAGAAAGGCCCAATCATCTCTTTGGTCGCCATCAGTTTACACCTTCGGTCATAATAATCCAGATATCTGTAAGAGTTGGGTTAGTCAGATTAATGCTTATCTACATGTGGAAGCTAAGAGACCAAAGAATCTTCTGGTAGGAATTTAATATCCTTT